CAAAAAAAGGCACCAAATTCCACCTCCACAGTTAAGATTTAAACTATCAAGGCAAATGAAAATGTCTTCCATCTGTCTGTGTACTTGTCCTTTTCACAGTCTTTACAGAACATTTGAAACATCAGCATTGCTTCCCCCTTCTTCTACTTGTGTATTCCCATGCAGGCACAACAAAAAAAACAACCTCTTTCTACTATGGAGTGAAAAATATCTCTTCCTATATAAATAGGCTAAGAAATAAGAATGGTGAGCAATTCAAAAATCATGTATAAAGACCTGTCTACACATTTTCTTTTGAGCTGCTATAATTAAGGAATTAAGAAATGTTTAGGAAACCTTTAGTTTTAACAGGTGCACACAATGTGCAACTTCTTTTTTTAAGCTGCAAATGGGAACACAAGCTAACTGAGAGTGAAGCTCTATTTGCACTGAAAAAACTCCTGGTCATGATTCCAATTAAATATTCAACATGCATCCCTGTTGACAGTGTTTGTTTCAAATGATTTTACCACCAGATGGCCCTTCAGAATACACTGATGAAGGCCACCTGACTGAAGAATGCAATTCCAGTGTCTGAGGAAGTTTAAAAGTGACTATATTTTAGCAATAGGACTGAACCAGGGGCACAATTACCAAGATTAAAACCAGGTACATTTATAATTTCATTATTTATCTTTGTGGCAGTCACAGCTAAAGAACAGCAGTATTGCACTCACAAAAAAGCAACAGAAAACCTGGGACTAACGCAGGTTTGGTTTTCTCCCTTTTTTTAATCCTTTAGAAGAGATGTAGCTTTGGTTTTTTATGGAAATGTGTTATTCAGAAAACAGATAGTTGGAGATTGTCATAAAACAAAATTTAGTATTAAGAGTGTTAAGTACAAATCTTTTATTCAATCTTGCTGCTTCACGCGAACAGGCTGAGACAATCCAGCTGGCCAGGATAATCAGAGCCACAGATTATCACGTAATGATCACAATATGAAAACATTCCAAAAGAATGAAATAGCTCTCATTCTAGATTAGTTTGCAGTCATTTTAAGAGAAGCAGAGAACTCAATGTAAAAAATTTACATCAAGAAAGGGGGAGACGCTCTTTATTAATAGAGTTGTCACATCAGCTTGTGCAGTTACTGAGTACACTTATTAATAACTACAACACAGCTGAAATCAAGACTTTTTTTCCTGGTGTTGCAAGTCAGGGAGAACAAAGCTGGGTATTTTTCAAACAAAAGGCAGTGCCAAGTGCTAGAAAAATAGTACTGTGAACAAAGTTCTATTCAAGCTTAATGCATTATAGCAAAATATCTGACTATCTGCACACAGAGCTACATGCCACTGCCATTTCCTCATATAGCTGCACGTACGTAAATGTATTTCCCCTCATGACTAGTTATCTTCCCCCTCTCACCAACTTCAAAAGGATGTGTGGAAGCTGTCTCTGTTTCTTACATCAAGATGCATGGTATGAGAGAGAAACAGCCTCTCCATTTTCTCACTCACTGTACCACCACAAGTATGTAAGGAGTAGATACAGACAGTCCCAAGTTAAGCAGTTCAAGATGTGACAGCATCAGCATAACAGCAGTATCAGGCAAGTCTTGGAGTTTAATGCAAGAGCTTTGTCTCCTCTCCATGGCTGTGTGAGGAGGGCAAAGGCCTGGCATCATCACCCTGCCTCCTCTGTCACACAAGTTAAACAAATTACTCAAGAGGTCTTCAGGAGCTTCTATCCTGCCCTTACTCCCCAGTCCCTAGTTCCCCACTTTCTTCACGGTTTTATTACTCAGAGGTCTCTTAAGTGCAATCTGTATCCTTTTTGTTTGGGAGCCCCTTTAGATTTGATTAAAAAGGAAGAAGCTTCAAATAGAAGCACAAAATTTTACCAAAACAACCTCACTTGTTGCTGTTCTAACACCGAGTAGCTAACTGCCTGCAGGTGCAGCTTACCATCATTTGGGTGGTGCACACTCGAACACACCAGCTGCCTTCATGGTTTCAAAGTCCTTCATGGGATCATAGTTCTTGTAGAACTCTGCATAAGCTCGTTTTCTGGGTTCAGCAATTCCAAACTGGAAAGTAACACACAGAAAATTAAACTTTGCAAAGCTTTACAAATAGTATTTTTTTTTCTATTGGTGCTATAATTTGTGTCAGTGGACGTCAGTCTTGAAAGGCCTACAGCTCAAATTATTAACATTACTTTGTTCCTGTTAAAATCCACCTCACCATTGGTCAGGAAAACAAATGTCTGAAGTAAAAAAGAAAATCTGTTGTAAGGTAGCACATCACACTTTTAAGATCCAAAACCACTCCATCTTTACAGATGGATACTCAAGAGTCCAATGCTCTCCCTGCTAACAGTTTTATACACAAAACATGTTCCCTATGGCAAATTTTGTGTCTGTGGGAGCTGCAAACTATAAATCCAGAGAAAAGGCATCCTAAACTGGAGAACTATATTTGAGCTACACTGTAAGTCAACCCCAGCAGTCTGGTAAAATTGTACACGACTGCTAAACCACTCCTACAGCTCACCCACACAAAAAGACACAATCCTGACTCCTTGGCTACTCATCCACCTGCAGCACAAGGATATGCTCAAAAAGCCCCCAAAAGTGTGAAGAAAAGTTGGAGGTGGGTTTGTACAACAGTAAATCACTGCTGAGATTCATGTTGCTTGTTCTAAACATGAGCTGCTGCCCTTACTAGTGTGTGACTGTGTGGGTTACAAATCAGGTATAGAGCCAGTGACTGCGAACAAAATTACACTGTAAGCCTGACCACAAACATGTCTAGTCCTTAACAGATGTGTTAAATAGATGTTGAGCTTTAACTGTGCAAACTTACTGTTTCTGACAGACATTTGTTGCAGTTTTAGTGAATGACCTGAAATGAACATAATTTCTAGTCATATTTATCAACAGCTTCCTGAACACTCAAATGCTGCAAACACCATAAGCAGGAGTTCATTGGGCAAACCAAGATCCACTTCTTCCACAGAAATCCAGACTGTGTTGTTTGCTTTCTGCACGAGAGTGCAAAATTATTTAGTGAAGGCACTCAAGAACAACTATTGCTTTTATCTTTATCAGAAATCCAATCTGCAAGTGGGATTTTGTGGAAATGTGATGCTCCATTCCCACATGATCCTTCAAAAGAAAGGACAGGGCCACTCCAGCCTCTCCCACCCTGATATCCTCAGGGTGAAGGATGATGTTCCAAATTGCTTAAGAGATCTCAGTCAAGAGGTAAAATAAGACTTTGAAAACTCTTACTTCATCACAGAATCATAGAATTTTAGAGGTTGGAATGGACCTTATAAATCATCTAGTCCCAACCCCCTGCCATGGGCAAGGACATCTCCTCACTCGACCAGGTTGCTCAAGGCCTCACCCAACCTGGCTTTGAACACTGCCAGGGTTGGGGCAGCCACCCCCCCCTCAACCTGTTTCAGTGTCTCACCACACTCGCAGTTAAAAACCTCTTCCTAATATCTAGCCTAATTTCCTCTTCTTCAATTTGTACCCATTACCCCTTCTCCTATCACTGCAGTTCCTAACAGAAAGTCCCTCTCTGGCTTCCCTGTAGCCCCTTCAGAATACTGATAGGCTACTATGAGGTCTCCATGCAACCTTCTCTTCTCCAGGCTGAACAGCCCCAATTTCCTCAGTCTGTCTTCATAGGGGAGATAGTCCAGTCCTTTCACCAACTTTGTACGCTTCTTCTGGTCTTGCTCTAACAATTCCATGTCCTTTTTATGTTGAGGGCACCAGAACTGCACACAGCATTCCAGGTGGGGTCTCATGTGAGCAGAGCAAAGGGAGATAATCACCTCCTTGGGCAACCTGTGCCAGTGTCTCACCACCCTCACAGGAATAAACTTCTTCCTAAGATCTAATCTAAGAGTCCTGTATACTGTGACAGAGAGAGACACAAACTATCGGGAGTTAATGTGCATCAACGGTGGTACGATCAAGAGCAGTACAGGACTGGGAGCCTCAAGGTGAAGTTGCCACGAATTCCATGATCACACACAGCTCAGAACATCAGGTTATTCAGATCATTCTTCAAATGAAGATTAGGAGGATTTATTTGTGTTTTGGAAACACGCTTACAGAAACACATTACTAAACCTTCCTGATGAACAGCTCAACCAAATCTCAACAGAAAAATATTATGAATTCTTACAACACTGCAGTGAGCTCAGTCTGTGACTGAGTGACTGCAGGGCTCACCTTGTACAAAGCTGCACATCCCAAAGACACAAAGAACGCCCCAAATAGGTGAAACTTCATCCTCCTGGCCAACAGGCGCCGCATCTGCGGCTTGGGCAGCAGTGCAGACGACATGGTGACTGATTTCCTAAAAGGAACAGAGTTAAAAACCAGGTAATTGTGGGAGAAGCTCTGCTGAAATAATTCTCTGCACTCTGGAAAGACTGTGCTTTAGGTATTGTGCAATACCTTCACCACACAACCTTCACAGCTCCTGCCTATCCGACTTTCCAATGAGAGTATTTCAGGGACAATATTCAAGGACAACCTATTTAGGACACGGATCTAACCATGCTTTGACACTCCTTACAGCCAGTACTGGCTGAATCTAGACTGGCCTTGGCTGTTCACACGGAATCCTTCCCCAAGCAGCAGGGTCCGTCCTGCCAGGCCTGCTGCGCTGGGGTTTACATCGGGAGACATTTAGAACACTGATGACATCTTACTCGTTTCTAAGGAAAAGCTCCTCCCTTCTTAACTAGTTTGCGGTTTGGTTCTGCTGGTGGTTGGCAAACCCTGTTAGCGCTAAAGGACGTTTTCCTACCGGCTAACATTTTGCAGAAAGCCGACACACACGGGAGGCAGGAGGCTCT